GAGAACGGGGCTGTGACAGGAGAGCTGGCCCTGACTGGGCTGTGCCATCACAGGCTTGAGCCTGCAGAAGCCTCACTGGAGGTGCTCACTGAGAGCAGGAGCTCGGGGCTTAGCAGTCAACCAACCCACTATCAAAGCCCCCAGCTGCTGTAAGGGAGAGCCTGGCTGTTTCGGAAGGCAGAGGAGACAGCATGGATTCCCACTGTGGAGGAGGAAGGGAGGAGGCCAGAGCCAACCTTCCCCATTGCTCCTGAGGAGATGTCCACTTTTTTGTTGTTGTTGTTAAAAATAAGGTTTCTCTCTGCCACCTGAGGCAGACCAATTAGGCTAAGGTATGGCTGGCCCAGGGATCATGGCGTCTCTCCCTCCCCAGCACCGGGTTTACAGGGGTTATGGTGACAGAACTCATGCTTGGGTGACAGGTACTGTGACTGTGGCGTTTCCTGAGCCCTAGGATCTGTGCTATGGAAACACCATGACGTGTGATGGGGTGTGGTCCTGGGCCCTTACCTTTCCTTCTCTTCTGCCTGAGGAGCACTATCAAGGTCAAAACCCCAGCCAGGAGGGCAGCAGCAGCCACTGCCAACCCGATTTTGAGTTCCAGATGCTGAGGGTCCTTTCCCCCCTGTCCTGTGGTCGTCATGGCAATTGTGCTGGGTGCAGAAGTCGCAGTGGTCGGGCCTGGAGAGGTGGTCCCGGGGCCTGGGATGGGACAGAGGAAGTCAGCATGGCACTTCCCTGGCAGGGCGAAGGTGCCCTAAAATGTCCTCTGCTGAAGAGACTCCTCACTCCTGATGTGGATATGACCAAAATACATGGTATACATGTATGAAATATTTAAATAATAAAATACTGTTAAGATCTTTTTCCCATTTAGTTTATTTATGTGTCTAATGTGTGTCTGTGTGAGAGTACATACACTCACACACCTGTGCACAAGCACAACACATGTATATTATATATTATACAGATATTATTATTATACATATATAATATATAGTGTACATACACACACACACACACACACACACACACACACACACACACACATATTTTGGACATTTTCCCAGAATGTCCAAAAGAACAAAACAGAAAACAGAGTTGTTGAAAGTGTTTGAGTAATGGCTGAGATGCAAACATCGCATCAGCCATTGACAGGGATAAAGTTAGAATCACTAAGAAAATGTAGTTCTGAGAAGAAGAGGCAGGAGAAGTGAGGAGATGGCGCAGTCCATAAAGCTGTTCTGCCTGTGTTCTGGTTAGCATCGTCACCATCATCGCCGTCACTGGCAATGTGACCCAAGCTAGAGTTATCTGGAAAGAGGAACTGGACTGAGAAAACGCCTCCATCAGGTTGCCTGTGGGTGAGCCTGCAGGAAGTGTTCTTCACTGGTGACTGACATGGGAGGGCTCAGCTCACTGTGGGCGGGGCCATCTCGGGCAGGTGATCCTGGATGCTTTAAGAACAGCAGGCTGAGCAGGCCAAGAAAAGCAAGCCAGTTAGCAGCACTCCCCATGGCTTCTGCTTCAGTTCCTGCCTGGAGTTCCTGCCCTGACTTCCTTTGATAAGGGAATGGGATCTGGATGTGTAAGACAAATAAATCCCTTTTTCCCTCCCCAAATTCTTTGGTTATGGTGATTTTCACAGCAATAGAAACTCTAACTAGGACACTAGGATACCTCTGAAGCACAAAGACTGAGAGCCATCAGGAAGGAAGGAAGGAAGGAAGGAAGGAAGGAAGGAAGGAAGGAAGGAAGGAGGAAAGGGAAAGGTTTCTAAGGTTGCTATTTGGCCTACACATGTATGTCCACACAAACACATCTGACATGTGAACACACACATTAAAGTGTTAACAAATTAAGAACAAACTAAGATAAAGCCACCCGCTATGAGTCTGACAATGTCTGATCCCTCGGAACCTGCATAGATGTGGTAGGTATCTGCAATCCCAGCACCCCAAGATGGGAGGCAGAGACAACAGGAGGAGACCCTGCCTCAAAGCAAGGTGGAAGGAGAGAATCCGCTCCTGGAAGTCCTCTGAGCACATGTGAATCACGGCCAGCATGTGCCTGTGCACACACAGACAACAATAATAAGTACAGTTGAAGACGAAGACACACTTTGACAGAATGGGACAGACAGGCCAGAAATGCATGGTGTTTTGTAAGAGAAGGTAAAAAGCAGGCCGGGTCTGCACAATTCTCTGTGTACACATTATGGCTGTTGGTTTGTGTGGGGCTCCTGGCAGTGGGGCGAGTCTCTGACTCCTTTGCCTGCTCTTGAGACCCTCTTCTGCCTCAGTAGGAGGGCTCTTGCCTTAGTGTAGCTTGTTTTGCCCTGTTTGGCTGTGCTCTCTTGGAGGAGTGCTCTCTTGGAGGCCTGCTCTTCCCTGAAGAGGAAGCATTGGGGGAGGGGACCTGGGGGAGAGGGCAGTGCAGGGGAGCTGGAGGAGTGGAGGAAGGGGAAGTTGTGGTTGGATTTATTACATGAGAGAAGAGTCTATTTTTAATTGAAAGAAAGGGATCTGTCACCAGGGATCTTTCTCCTTAGACATGAAAGAAAAAATATCGCAAAGGAGAGTGGTATTGAATTTGGCTAAAAAAGTAAAATTACATAAAAACTTGATGAGCCAACCACAAGATTCTCTTCAATACTTTTGGCAAATACTTCTCCAGTTGTGCCATCTCTACACTGATTGTGGTTAAATGATTGGATAAAACGATTTCTTTTGGGGCCTGTGGCTGTGGCTCCGAGGGTAGAGTGTATGGCTAGCATAAGCAAGGCCCTGAGTCCTGTCCCATGAGGGTCACACGAGGAGGGTGACACACTTTTGTGATCCCAGCACCTGGGAAGTGGAGGCAGGAGAATCAGGAGTTCAAGGTCATCCTCAGCTATAGAGCATGACTGAGGCCAGCCTGGGCTCATGAGACTCTATAAGAAGGTAATGAAAGGAAAAATGTCTTTTTATTATTAATTTTAATATTTACAAACTATTCAGATAATGAATTAAACTTTAAAAAGTACTGATGAGAGAACCTTGTCCTTGAGGCCCTGGGGACAAGAGGAAAAACATGGTATGCCTGACTGAAGCAGGGAAAGACAGGGCTGCCTGCCTGATTGTCAGCCAAGCATCTAACAGATTATCTCAAAGGGCAGGAGGAAGAGGCAGGGGCTAGGAAGAACAGAATTTCAGCAAAGGCCATGTAGGGAACCTTGTAGACAGAAGGCTGCCTGGCCAGTTCAGGCTCCGGAGCTCATCCTGACCCAGGACAGGGGTGAGGATGAGGCAGGAGTTTCCCAGGGCAGGTGGGGGCTAAGCTGGAAGGGAAAACCCATTTACCACTGGCTCTGCTGA